ATCACTTCTTCTGCATAACATCTGGCTCCCTGCTGCTGACCAGGCAGTTTTTTATTTGAACTTCAAGTGCCAAACTTAACACAGCTGTAATCTGAAAGCACGCCGGTTCAGGAAGCTGCAAAGTTGCTCGACTCAGTGGATTCTGCAGCAGTAAGAAATGAACAAGAAAAGTCCAGGCTTCCTGCTTTCAAGCTATCAGGTCTGGACAGAAAATCCTTCAAAGTTAGACACGGAAAGGACCTTAGTGGTCATATCATCTTATGGTTTCATTTACAGGCAAGAACAAAGGCCCGGGGAGGCGAAGTGCTGTGTTCAAGCTCGTGAAGTATATTTTCCAAAAATGGCACTTAGAGTGTTTAGATGGGTAAGCAGACACATGTCATTGGAATACTAGTATCAGGATCCTAATTATGGAAATCGACATATGGTATTAGTTTGGTGGCTTAATTCATATCATAGAACATGTTTACCTCGCTCAGACAAACCCTATCTACCACTGGACATGCTGTTGTTTCTGGAACCATGACACATTCTGGGACCAGGCATTGGTTAGGCAGTAGTGACGCCCTCTTGAAAACAACTAGCTCTCTTGGTGCAGTGATGGCTTTTACCCAAGTGTTTCCAGTTTCGGTGTGCTGTGCATGCATTTCTAACAATCGCCGTCACAACTGTGGTCAGCATCACTCTTCCATTCATTTGCGGGCAGAAAGGCAGTATTGCCCTGGTGGTCAAAGCCTGGGTTTGAATTCCAGCTCTGAGCCTTACTGGTTTTTGACCTCGAGAACTTATAGCTTAGCTATCTGTGCCTCAACTTTTCCATCTGTAAAATAGGGATAAAAATAATACCCATAGGTTGGGTTCTTGGTAGCATCAAACGACTTACCATATGCAGAGCTCTTAGGACTGGGCTTAGCATGTCATAAGTACTGGTAAGAGGGTTATCTGTCGCTGTTTCTCGAAGGGGAAGCTCAATTACAGTGGAATCACCTCAGACTATTTCATGGAACTGAAAAAGTACTTATGATTTCTGCTTCCCAGACTAAGGCTAGGCCTTGCTTTATAGCTTGAGTGGGACCTTAAAAAAACAGTTTTTCCAAGATCATTTACCAAGAAATTGACTTAATTTACAGAATTGCAATCCTTGCCAACCTTCTGAAGTCTACTTCTGTACCTTTTCCAAAAACAAGTAAGAAAGCAAGCCAGCGAGGAAGAGAAAAATAAATTCTACACCTTAGTCTGCATTTTGCATTCCCAAGCAGGAAATGTTACTAAGTACAAACGAGTAGGTTCATGCAGTCACTATCTTGGGGGTTTGCACAGATGGCTTTCCCTAATGGACCATAAGCTGGGATGTTCAGTAGTCAGTACAGGGACAAAGACTGAAGGTCCGAAAGTGCGGAGACTCAAAAGAAAAAATGAGACTTTACTAGATGTCACATTGACCTTACTTCATCACCTGGGAGCGTGTACAGGTAAGGTATGTTTTGCAACTCCATATAACAATAGTCACTCATTTTTCATGACTATAGCTTGAGCGTTCATAGACTTTTTCCTAACCTTCCGTGAGCATCCTAAGCTAAGTAGAATTAAGACACAGAAAAATGGAAGTTCCCAAGTGAGTTCTTGCTTCTTCTTCAGAGATGGTACGGGGCAGTGGAATCGCTGCCCTGTGTTAACTCAGGATGAACAAGGTATCCCTCTCAATCTCAGCTTCGATCCTGTGAAATAAGGATGACAAGACTAATCCCACTGTGTTTTTACGGAAGTGGTACACGGAAAGCAGGTGCCCAGGGACTGTTGGTTCCTCCTTCTCCTTTCACAACAGAAATAGCGGAAGGTGCCTCCTCTGGGGAGACACAGTGCCCGGGCATATGGTTTGGCCACTGGTCAGTGTGGGATCCATAGGAGGCTCTTCCCGCTCCAGGCATCCTCGAGCTGGGCCAGCCTAGTGAGGCAGCTGGACTGCAGTCTCTGCCCCTTGGGAGCTCCGTGCAGGCGGTAGTCCTGTGTCGATGACAAGGAGGAGCCGGAGGTGACAATCAGGACAAAACTTTCCAGGTAGAGAAAACAGCAAGGGCAAAGGCCCTGAGATTGGGGACATGCCTGTTGGGCTTGGGGAACATGAAGGTCCGAGGGTTGAAGAACAGTTGTCAAAGGGGAAGACTGCTAGAAGGTGTGTTTGGAGAGAGTGGATTGTGTCCTAATTTTATGGAAATCCACTAGAGAGTTTTATACATAATCTGAATTCTCTTTTTAAAAGGTCGTTCTGGCCACTATTTAAGCAGGATGTGAGGGGTAAGAGTGGAAGCAGGGAGACCAGGAAAAGAGAATTGTAGGAGACTACATTGGGGACAGGGTGCTTCCACTGGGGCCGTGATGGAGAAAGGATAGGTCTGGGGGACGTTCTGGAGGTGAGCAACACAGAACTTCTTGATAGATTTAAAAGGTACAAAGAGAAGAGGGATTAAATGTGACTCCTTGGTTTTTGGCTTGAGCAGCTGGGTAGATGGTATTGCCATGGACTGGAAGTTAGGGATGTGCGGGTTTGGATAGGCAAAGTCAAGAGTTTTGCATATGCTGGGTTTGAGATTCTTATTAGACATTCAAGTGGAGATGACAAGTAGGCATTTGGATCTAGGAGTGTGGAACTTCAGGTCAAGGCTACAATTTTCACTTGGAACTCATCAGCTTATAGATATTATTACTGTTTGAAGTAATGGGTCTGGATGAGTTCATTCAGAAAGTGTAGAGTGGCCAGGACCAAGCCCTGCGATGCTCTTACTTTTCGAGGTTGGACGTAGGAGGAAGAGGCTGCAAAGCAAATTGAGAAGACGGGGGAAAGCCCACAGATGGTACCCAGAGCTGTCTGTCTCCTGTGCCAGGAGAGCCACTGCACAGCCTGAAGGTGATGGCCCTGGTGATAGCGCTGTCCTTTGAAGAATTAACTAATTTGCTAAGTGACAAGCACTGTTTCTCTGCAGTTGTCTCTTTAGTATTTACTGTTCTTGCTTTTACCTATTTTGCTAATTTTATATAACTCTGTGCACAATAGTTATTTGTGCTTGTAAGTAAATCAAGTACTAGTTTGCCACTTTTCCCGTTACATGGCATCCTGTTAATGTCTTTGAGGCCGGTTATTGTTAAGGATGATTGTTTAATTTTATTATCGTTTTGGTTGACTTTTTTCACTTTCACTTTGGCTATATGGAACAGAAAACCTGGCCGTGGTAAGGAGGGCTTGCTTTTGCTGACAAAACAAGATATCTAAAGTCAGATAATCTAGCAGTTCCGTAATTCGACCAGAAACCCAGACTTATTCTGCCTTTTTGATCCACCACCCTCACCGTAGAGCCCCTTCCCTCACATCTGCCTGGTGGCTGCAAATCTCTGGGCATCGCATCTGTATTCCAGCAGGAAGAAGGACACAGAGAACACCTGTCCTGGCCGAATCTATTCTTTTTCATTAGGAAAACAATAGCTTTCTTTGAAGTCATGTTAGTCAAAGTCTGCTTGTATCTCTTTGACCAGAACTAGGCCAAATAGACATGCCAGGTTGCAAGGGAAAACGAGGAGGTGACTATGCATTTTTTTATTCATGTGTCATTCATTCGCTCACATTCGGACATTCAGCAGGACTTGAGGTGTCCTGTGTATGTCCCATCCTAGCCTCCCTTTAAAAAATCCTGTCTTTAACTTTTTAAAAAGTTAGTTCTTAAAGAATGTTAAACAACTTAATTTTAATTGATACACGGTAACATTAACCCTTTTCAATGTATAGTTATTTGAGTTTCGAAAGAAACAAAGTTGACTATTTTTAACTGTAAATGCTGATGCTCCCCAAATTGCTTGATATTTCCATAATGGAAAAGGACAATTTTTTAAAAGATTTATTTATTTATAGACAGAAGGGAAAGGAGGGAGAAAGAGAGGGAGGGAAACATCACTGTATGGTTGCCTCTCATGTGCCCCCCACTGGGGACCTGGCCCACACCCCAGGCATGTGCCCTGACTGGGAATTGAACCAGACCCTTTGGTTCACAGGGCAGCACTCAATACACTGAGATACACCAGCCAGGGCGGAAAAGGACAAGTGTTTCACACGAAAGACTAGTTTGAGAAAGAAGAGAATCCTTATCAAATGCACCTAATTGAGGCTTCCTGAGATGAGATGAAATGGAATAAAGTTCTAGAAATAAGGGTCCCCTGAGTCAAGAGGCCAGTTTGCATCTCAAGAGTACCTGACCTTAACCATTAAGTTTCTATTGGGCTCAAAAACCATCCACCCTGGGCAAGGATAAGACTTGGATCCCAGCAGGACAGTGGGGTGGTTTGACCAAATGCAAGGTTTTGTTGTCATAGTTGGGGTGAGGCTCAAAATGGAGGGACAGATAAACCAGCAAACAGCTGTGACATGTGCATGTTCATTAGCCATTTCCATCTCTAGCCTGAGTGATAAATGACATGATAATGAATGATATGGAAATTCAAGTAATAATTGTCAGGATAAAATTTACCATATTTGGCTCTGGCTGGTGTAGCTCAGTGGATTGAGCACAGGCCTGCGAACCAGAGGATCGCGGTTCAATTCCTAGTCAGGGCATATGCCTGGGTTGCAGGCCAGTTCCCAGCAGGCCAGTTCCCTGCAGGCCAGTTCCCAGCAGGGGGCGCACAAAAGGCAACCATACATTGATGTTTCTCTCCTTCTCTCCTTCCCCTCTAAAGATAAATAAATAAAATCTATAAAAAAACATTTGATTAAAAAAACGACCATATTAATGCAAAGTCTGACATGGCCCCACAATGTGAATATGTGATCATTTTATTACTAGCATTTATTGAGCACCTATGTCAGATGCTTACCATACATTTAATCAACCACTTGTGACCTGGTATGTTGACTCTTCTCTGGGTTAGGGGAAGGTGATTTGGGCTTGATGCTTCACTGTCAATTTAATGCAGAATGTGTTAAGATGTAACTCACATTTACAGACTTGCCTGGTTTTCATCTGTGCTCATTAAGAAAAAAAGAACAGCCCTGGCTGGTGTGGCTCAGTGGATTGAGTGCTGGCCTGTGAACCAAAGGGTGGCAGTTCGATTCCTAGTCTGGGAATATGCCTGGATTTCCGGCCAGGTCTCCAGCAGGGGGCATGTGAGAGACAACCACACATTGATGTTTCTCTCTCTCTCTTTCTTCCTCCCTTCTCCTCTCTCTAAAAATAAAATAAATAAACTCTGAAAGAAAAAAGAACAAGGGTAAAGTAAGTCATAAGCATGGTCAACACCTTTTATATTTCAAAATAAGTGTAGACAGTCAATTTTAGCTGCACTAAAAAAACCATTTAAACTTACATGGACCTACTTTAAAATTGATATACTCTAGTATCTCTTCCTTGCTTTACTCTTGTGTATATAATTTAACTATAAAGTTCATTCATATTTACATTAAGGTTTTCAGTTACCATTATTTCACTTATACTTTTCTAGAACTCTGCCACTATAACTTGGTATTTCTCATCTTTTCTGGGCTTTACTTTCCTCTGTAAAGGGAGGCATTGGGGTGATTATTTAGTAGCCCCAATTTTTCCAGCTCTAATATCTCAAGACAATAAAATATCGACTCTCTGCAGGGGAACAATGGAAACATAGAACAAATGACATAGGAGGCTTCTTTGGAGAGCAAGTTTTCTTTAAAACAGGGATGCTACTTAATGGGCCGTAACTTTGCTGTTGTTCATGAGTCAGCATGAATAAAACCTCCAGAGAAGGCTCAGTAGGTCAGATTTATCTAAGAAGACAGCTGTGTAATCCTGTATCCCTCTCCAACCCCGTGGCACTGCAGATACATGTTTCTGGCTTTTTGAACATCAGTCAAATAGCATTACCCACTTTGTAAAGTCCACGAGAGCACAACTTGAAAAATCAAGCTGGCTTTCTTAAAGGCTTCGGTAGAACAAAATAGAGCTGTATTGATACATGATCCACAGCTATTTTTCTCTGTCTTTAAGTCATTTCCATTGATTCTGTGATACTGGTTGGTGTGGGAAAGACTTGTACTAAAGAATTAAAATGGTTTAAAACTTAGTAAAAAAAGTTTTGTGCCATGACTTTTTATACCTAGTAGACTATCACTTTTTTTTGCTTGCTCTCCTTTCTAAGTAGTATTGTCATAAGAGGACTTCAAAATACATAATGTAAATAACCAGGCCAATGAGAGAACTTTCATTTAAAAACAAACTTTGAAGGTGCAGTTACTGCCTTATTGGGCTGTGCAAGTATTCTTGTCATAAGGCGACCCCCCCCCTCAACACCATGGAGAACCTTCAGAGCCCAAGGGCAGATAAATACGAACCTAGAGAAGTGACAGGAAGAGAAGAAAGGATGGGGATCCTTACTAAGAAAATAAACAGGCTGGCGGGGAACCTTGGAAAAAGACAAGAAACAGAGAATACTGAAAGTGTGCAGGCTGGATAATGCAGTGACTTTTTTTTTCACACCAAGGACTTACATTTCTGCTAATCTTCTTAAACATTAGGTTCTGGGCAAGCAATTAGGCAATTTAACCTTATTTAGAGTTTTGTTCAGACACAGCATGAGGCTGGGCTTGTAGTACTGTGTTATGTCCTTAGGAGAGAGAGGATTGGTAATTGATTTAGTCCTCCGGCATCTGTCCTGCTATTCGACCACCGTTTTCCCATTGTCTAGACTGTAAGGCACCAGAAGCAATTAAGTAGAGGATCAATGTGAGCAGACAGGTGTGCCCTAGTCACTTCCCCTCTTTACTTTACACCGCTCATAGTCTCTGAATTTCATACAAGCTATTTTAGAAACAGCAAATTAATGAAAAACAAAACTGAAGATTGCCAGTACTTCCCCCCTGGAAAGGTGATGTAAATCGATTCCTGAATAAACCCTTGCATGGTATAACTTTAAAGAGATCTCAGATCTGACACGTGGTTTTCGGTTCTAAGCATCAAAAATGGGGCTAGGAAATAGATATTCAAGTATTGCTTCTATTATCCTGTTAATGTTAGAAACAATAAACTTACCACGTCCTCGACCCCCACCATATTACAGAAGAGGCTGGCTGAATTTTGCAACAGGACTCCGAAGGGGAGAATTGGTAAGATCTTTGAAGCTAGAAATCCCCTAGGAAGAGGCTTCCCCACCTGTCACAACCTGGATCGTCTCCACGGAGGGCGCCGGGGACACCGCCGCCACGCGGCGCTGAGGTCAGCCTCTCCAGTCCTGGGAGAGCTCTTTTTATCCTAAATTACAGACTTTGCAGCCACCGGATATCCTCGCTGCAGAACTGGCAGTAGCCATGTGGCTGCACTCGCGTTTCCTGACAACCACTGCATTATTTCCACTAATATCCTGTCTCAGGCCTCTCGCTGGGCGACTCCGCACTCCCACCACCCGCCGCCGCTTCCCTGCGGATGGGTAACAACTCGACTGTGGTCCCTGTGCCCAAACAAAGCGGACCGCCATCCCCCTCCGAAAGTTGCTGAAATCACACTTGGCCACAGTGGCTGGTTTTCCCTCCCGACAGCTCTAAGTCACAGCCGCATAAATTGCTTGCACCCGGTAGATTTGGGCAGACTCGCAGCCCTGTGCTCCGTGCAGGGGTGGGGCGCCGGCAGCCGAGGCGTTCTCATTGTCCACGTTCCCCGCACCCCGCGGCGTTCCGTTCCCCGCCCCCCCGCCGCCCGCCCCCCTATCTGTGGCACACACGCGCGCAGGGCGAGCGGCGCGCCCGAGTCTGGAGCTGCTGCAGCAGCTGCTGCGGCGGAGGCGGGGCGGGGGCAGCGGGGCGGGCCCCGGCAGGCGGCGGGGGCGGGACCGGGGCGAGGCAGCCGGGGCGCCAGCGAGCGAGCGGCGAACGCGGCGAGCACCGAGAGGAGCGCGAGCAGCAGCATGGCGGGGCTCCGACGCCCGCAGCCGGGCTGCTACAGCCGCACCGCCGCGGCCGTGAACCTCCTGCTAGGCGTCTTCCAGGTCCTCCTGCCCTGCTGTCGCCCGGGAGGGGCGCAGGGACAAGGTCAGCCTTGCGCCGCTCTGCTGGCTTTCCCTCTTCACCCTGACCGCTCCCCACCCCCCCGCCCTTTCTTTTAGGGAACTGCTGAAATCTATTACAGGGCAAGGGGAGGAAAGGGAAAGGGGCAGGAGGAGGAAGGAAAGCGATTGCAATTCTCGGCTGATAACATTTTCTAACCGCAGCGTCCCCTCTCGCGCCCCCCGCCCCCATGCAAACAGAAAGCTGGGAAGTCGCGGGGCTCGGGGACCGCGGAGCGGACCGCTAGCCGCGCGCGCCCCGGAGCCTTTGTGAGCGGCCCCCTGGCACCCCCGGCGCAGCCCCCGCTTTGTGTGGCGCGCGCTAGGGCCCCGCCGCGGCCCGGCTTCCTGCAGCTTTGTTCCTCGAGCCTGGCCGCCCAGGACCCATCCTGCAGATGCCCGCCCCAGATGCTGCGGGATGCGAGCGCGGAGTGGCCCACGGAGTGGTCTCTCCCGATCAGTCCCCCAGCACGAGACTCCCCGACCCTGCATGCTCTCGCCTTTCTGTCACAGGGGCTGTCGGCACACACCCCGTCCATTGTGTTTGTGTCCTCGGCAGGCTTTTTTTGGGTGGCTTCGCTTCTAGAAGGAAAGGGGGACTTGTTTTGGTGAGGCGGGTGCATAGGGGACGGTAGGGAAACAGGAAGCGTTTCTTTTCCATGCATTAAAAACGCGGTGTATTTTTTGGTGTCCATGCAGCGATTGAGCCCTTGCCCAACGTGGTGGAGCTGTGGCAGGCTGAAGAAGGGGAACTCCTCTTGCCCACTCAGGTGAGGACGACCAGGGGACAGAGCGGGGATGGGTGTGCGAGCGTGAAGAGGACGGGAGGCCACGAGGCCGCTGGCCCCCCATTGGCACAGGCACTCGGGCCACTTTGCAAGGCAAATAAACGGTCGGGCCAAGCCCGAACACCTGGCAACGGTGGCCTTCTCAGCCTCCTCCTGCGCCATGTGACAGGGTGTGAGTCACGCCTGCCCCAAGTTCAGGAGGTGGGACCTAGGCCACCTCAGCAGGGCCTTGGCCAGCGACTGCTGTGTGGAGGGAAGGGCGGGCCCCTAGGCCAGCTGTGGTCTTGGGTGGGCGAGGGACACGTGCCCTGTTCTGTTAGTGAGCTGGCTCTGGGTGCCTGAGGACAGCAAGGATATTGATTTCAGAAGCATGAGCCAGTGGTACTTGCCATTAGCATTAAGTTGCTTTGGGTTGAAGATATGACTTTAAAGAATTGTCATCTTGGATTTTTTCCAAGTGCCTTAAATTTGCGTTAGGATACACTGTCTAAAGAACTTCAATTTCCTGTTTGGGCTCCTGCCCCCAATATGATACAATGATTACATTTGGAAAAATAAATACTAGCATTTTATTGGAATCTGTGGCATCGTATAGGATTTACTGCTGCTATAGACACAGTACTGCAAAGCTCTTGTGTTTAAGGGGTAACTTTTAGGAGAAATCTTCATTTGACTGTAGTTGTACACATTTAAATATAATATTGTGACTTTTTCAGCAGTTACAGTAGTGACCCCAAATGCATTTTTCCTCCTGGGGGAGAAGTGTTTTGAATTCTAAGGGAATATTCAGCTTGTGGGCCGTAATTTTTAAGATGTTCATTACTGCCACATCGGTGGCAGTGCTTAATTCTATGCTGTCTCTTGTGGCTGTTTAGAAAAACAGGATGTCTAGCTGTAAGTTTACTGCAGAGGCTGTGCAGTGTTATATTTCAGTTTTCTCCTTCCTATGTGAAAGCAGTTGGAGTGCTGGTTTTGAGATATTTGGAATATTCATTTTAACCAGGGCTAATGAATAACAGCTTCAAGGAGGAGAGGTGATTTTTTAGAGGAAAATTTTTCTGGACCTTCCCTAAGGCCAGCAGGCTGAATAAGACCAGTCCTTTGAGAAAAAGCCCCAGCAGGATGGGAAGCAAATAGTCTGCCCTTCTCTTGAAAGTTTATTCCCAAGTGGAGTCGTTCCCTGATTATAAAGAACAGATGTGTATTGTTGAATATTCAGAACATACAGAAGGATGAAATGAATAGAATAGACATTGTTTGTAATAATCCTACTGAGAGAACCACACCTAACACTTGAAGTATTTACTATTAAAAAATAAAGTTCTATTTGTCTATATCAGGTTGTTCAGGAGCAGCGTTTGTGACTTTTGGGGCTGGAGAATTCTTTGTTTTGGGGGTGCTGTCCTGGGCCCTGTATGATGTCAATCAGCCAGGGCATCTCTGCCTCCGCCCACCAGATGCCAGTGGTGTGCACGTCTCCCTCTCTTGCCCTCAGCTGTGACAGCTAAAACACATCTCGGGACAGGGCCAAAGGTCCCTGAGGAGCAAAGTTGCCCCAGTGGAGAAGCCCTGGTGTATATCTCTATGTATGTGCATTTGTACTCAATTGTAGCCTCTGTCTCTTACTGGTTATTGTTAGAAGCCAACCCAAGCTGAAGGAAAGTAAACTACAGACTCTGATGTATTACAGCATTAGTTGAAGATATATTCACTCTGCTCAGAGGTGGGAATGTCAGGCCTGTGATATGCTTTTATTATAGGCTCAGACATTATTTTATGAAATTCTTAATTTCTAGTTTTATTTATATAAATATAACATGGTTTGTTTTGGTAAAAATGTTAGACTTTGAACTTGGATGGTGTAGCTCAGTGGATTGAGCACGGGCCTATGAACCAAGGGATTGAGGTTCGATTCCGAGTCAGGACACATGCCTGGGTTGCAAGCCAGTTCCCAGTGGGGGATGCACAAGAGGCAACCATACGTTGATGTTTCTCTCCCTCTCTCCTTCCCTTCCCCTCTAAAGATAAATAAATAAAACCTTTTAAAACATGTTAGACTTTGAAGCTGTTTTTCTGGAATGTTCACTATAGAAGTGTTTATAACTAAGCTATTTTAATCAAAGCTGTATTGAAAGTGAAACTGATATTCAAAGTAATTTCCTAAATACTTTATCTCTACCTATATGAGTATCTTTTAGAGATGCTTACTCTGCCTATATACCTGGACTGGGGGCGAGGGTAGGTATAGATCTACCTGTAGCTATCTATCTAAACTGCATGCCATATATATGCATATGTATCTATCTAAACTATCTGCACACACATGCAGTAATGTATATATTACATATATGTAAAAGCTGCAGAGAGTTCTGAAGAAAGTTCTTTTTAGCGCGTTCTTTTCAAAGCACTTTGAATATCTTTCAGAAAAGTTTTCCTCATGTGTGTCACGGAGTCTGTTGGAAAGAGGATATATATATAGATATTATTTAAGTTTGAGGGATTTCTGCTTTGTTAACTTATAGGTTGGGTTCCTTTCTTTTGGGAAGAATTAAAGATGGCTTCAGAAGCTGAGATTTTTCAATTAGAGTTGAAATGGGAGGATCAGAGGATGTGGCATTAAAAAATCAAATACTAACATTTACCAACACTAATTATTTATTTTGGAAATGTTTTCTGTTGATTCTGGGAGAGGCCCACCCCATGGGTCTCTCAGTGATCAAGAACTTGAGAGTAATGCATCATTAGTAAAACAAAATGCAATGATGGAATGGTTTTAAACTGCCTGACTCTCTGCCCAGCCTCACGATTTGACTCCCTGTCTCATCCCTTTTGACCTCCAGCCTCAGTTTCTTCATTTGCAAAGTGGAGGTAATAATGGTGCTGATCTCAGAGAAATAAGCACCTTGAACCTAGGAAGCACTTCATATACAAGGCCCACCCCTTTTTACTACAAAATCATAAGTATGTAATTCTGTAATAAAACAATATCACACTCAGGGATACCGCATGACATTCTAGGTGAAGTGTTCAAATTGCTGTCCGTCTCGTGGGAGACATTCACACACCCTAGAGACCACATTCTCGCAGGTGTTACTTCTGCCGGACCCTGTACGATACCTGTCATTCTGGCAGCAGCCACCTGTCTCCCGGTGATTTGGTCGCTGGAGAGCATGGGGCTGGAGAGCATCCTGCTTTGAAGGGGCTGAACCAGTGCAGATAGCCTGGGATCGTTCTGTACCTTCCCATTGTACAGATAGATAGTATTACTCATATCTTTTTGTTATATGCTCTTTTATGTTGTTTAATACCTTGGTGTAGGAACATAAAAACTATCCATGGTGACGATGAGAAGGAAGAAAAAAATGTATGGTTTTATTCTTAGATTTACAGGATTTTTGCTTCCCTTTGACTTTGCTTCATGTGACCGCACTTCATCACACCATGTCCTAAGTGATGATGGGTGTAGAGACGAAACAACTGTTTCATTAGCTTACTGTCCAGAAGTAATTGCATGTGTGCGAGGCCCTGCCTTGTGCACCTTCTTCCTTTGCCTTCAAGGTCAAAAACCTCCTGTGATACCCTGCCATCTGCTTGACCTGAAGGCCTTCCATATTCTGACCTTGACTGCCTCTCTGGTCAGTGGTCAGTGTCTGGGACGCTGACCCTTGGCCGAGCAGGCCCAACACGGATCTGCTGAGTGAAGGAATGGATGCTGTTGCCTTACAGGGGTGGTGCTTTCTAACTTGGCAGTGGCACCCTCATTTCTCCTCGTTGAGTTTCTTGAGCGTCTGCGTTTTTTGCTTC